ATGTCATCCTAATACACCAAAGGTTTCGGGTTTGATCTCCATCAAGGCACATGAATGCATGAATGGGTGGAACAACAAATCGATTTCTCTCTCTCTCTCTCACGCCCCCTCTCCCGGCCTCTCTCTCTTTAATATCAATACAAAACAAATTTAGAAGAGAACAGTTTTCAAGCAGAGATTTCTATAGCCACATATAACAAATAATTTGTTCAGGAAAGTCACTAAACAAGCAAATACCAACAACAAGCTCTGGAAAGGCAGGGGATCTGATTTCTAGAGTTGCCATACTATATTATTTTAAATGTCCAGTTTTCAATAAAAATTACAAGACATGCAAAGAAACAAGAGTATCTCTCTCTCTCTCTCTCTCTCTCTCTCTCTCTCTCTCTCACACACACACACACACACACACACACACACACACTCACAGTCAAGAGAAATTATCCTGAAGAAGCCAAACAATGAACTTACTAGATGAAAACTTTAAGTAAGCTCAAAAATATGTTCAAATAAGTAAAGGAAACCATGGACTGAAGAATGAAAGAAAAATATGAGAATAATGGTTTTGAATCAGGATAAATGGAAAAATAATACGATCAACAGAAATAGGAAATTGGAATGCATCTTTTCAAAGATCAACCCCACTATGCATTATGTGAATACATCCCAGTTAATCACTTTGAAACTGTTTTGGATTCTTCCAGTAACATATGTGCATTCACTCAACATGTGTTTATTAAACATGTCCTATGTGTAGGCACTCTGCAACAAATAAAGGGGATGGGGATGTCCACAGGTTATTGATAAGGTCATACTTTGAATTCTCCCAATGCCTCTTCCTGTAGTACATCTTTCTGTTCTGTGCACTGTGACTTAAGTTAAGAGAGCCCCTGGCACATCTGAGAATATGGCTTTCTGGGATAGTTTTCTTAGGTGTAAGTTATAGTAAAGTTCTAAATGATGCCTTTTTGCAATGCTTTCTCCCTTCTACTCTTAAAGCTATGTAGGTAATTTTCCTGTGATGCCTTATTTTTCAGTTGTTTAACCTTTCTCTGGCTAGGAAGAAGTTGGTTTTTGTTTGTTTGTTTAATGAGAAGAGATGTTAGAAACCCCCGCCTTATATGTTTTGTATTACCGTGTTCAAATCATGCAAAGGTCGTAAGTAGTCTGAACCTTAAATTAGGGACCTTCTCATCAGAGGTCATTAGTACTTACATGTGTAATTTATCATTAGGGTAGTATAAACTAAGGAAGAAAAAAAGCCCCTCTTATGGCTGAGTCTGCACTGTGGTCCAATAGGAGTTCTAAACCATTTTTTGGTAACTGTCATTTTCCAAGCATCAAATGTGTATAAAGTAAAGGGCTTCAAAATTTGGGCTGTCAGTAGTGTGGTATATTTTGAACATCACCTCATCTCAGATTTCTGTGCAGATGTAAATAGCAATCATGAAAAGTCAGTTTAAAAATCTATTTCACTTGAAACTTTTTCCATTAAGTGATAAACATTAAGAAAAATAACATCATTTTACATGTCACCAAAACTTCATAGTCAGCAAAAAACAGAACCAAGTAGTCAAATAGAACATTGCTATGTTTGAGAATTCACTGTCCTTGACATCATTTCTTAGTCTGGGCAGTCATGCAGGCCTGTCACTTACATGCCCTGTCATTTCCTGTTCCAATTCATTAAACCCTAGGCTTTCCCAGAAACACACAACCCACATGGAAATTCTTCTGCCAGTCAGAAAAGATCACTTTGAAGGATGCAGAAATTGATATGCAACTCTTGAGTGCGCATGAGGTCCGTAATAAATTGCCACCTACACATGGAATTACATTTTGTAGGTTGACAGTGAGTAGGCATAAGCAGTAGGAGCTCAGATTTAGACTTTACAGTCAGGGCTTATATCAGATTGATTGGCTTCTCTTTGGCTGCCAAAGAATGGATCAAGTTCAGAAGCTAAAGCCAAGTTGGCAATCCTTTCTCTTTGCCATTCTCTTTTTAAAAATACCCTAAATAAGTTAGGCAGTATAGCAGTGTACACACAGAGGCTTGACTCAAAACTTCAGTTCTCTAAAAATCATTTTGCCTCTCTTTGCTTCTCAGTAATATTAAAAATTTTAGGACTCCAGAGTCACATTCATAAACACATTTATAAACATTACTGACCCC